CATTTAATGAGTTATTACTGTGCATATCCAATGTCATCAGCATTGTGTATATATCTTATTTTCAGGGAGCAAGTGAGAAAAATAAAAAAAAACACAAAGCATTTTTGTAAAGGCAAAAGGGAGTGACAGTCTCATTTTATCAATTTTCTTAAGTTGAACACTAATTAATCCACTTGAAATGATTTATATTGCATTTTTCAACCATTCTTTTTCCTTTCAAATGATTCATAGGTTTTGTAAATACATGTGATATCTTGATATCTATATTCTTTTTCTATAAAGAAAATTAAAACAGAGTCAGCAACATACAATGACAGTAGGAGTGCTTTATTTTCATATTATCAATTGGACAGTAAAAGAACAAAGCAGTTACTTTTCACAGGTGTGAAATCAAGTTATGAATCTCCAAGGTTCCAATATCACGGTCATCTTTTCCATATACTGAATACAACAGTGATGGGTAGTGTTCCAGAGATTTTAATCTTATAACTGACTGATCACCAAGTTTCTTCTTCTGGTTGAGAGATCTAGGGTCTCCTTAGACAGTAATGATAATTCAGCAATCTTAGAATAAGTGTGGTAACTTGAAGCAACATGCCACTATAATTTAGTGTGACTGAACTGTCAATTGTCAATATTTGCCAATCCATTGGTGCCAATCCTCCTTTCCTGCAAAACTGAGTGAGATTGCCAAGCCTAAGATGCACATTTGTTATGGGGGATTGTCCCAAGGTGACTCTAAGTCCAATAAAGGTTGGCCAGGATATCCACTACTGCGTCTTCCTGAAGATGGCAGGACAGGCTGTCAAAAGAAAATGTATTAAACATATTTTAAACTTATATTAATTGCTGTATAAAAACAATAACTAAATAATATACTGATCAAACATATTGCATAAGTAAAAACAATGATTGAAAATTAAATCAAATATGCATGATGTAGCTACCGGAATTTCATGATAGAAAGACATAGTTGGTACTCACATCTAAATCTGATGAATTTGCCTGTGCAATTTCAGGTGACTCTTCTATTATTATCTGTAAGATTGTCCAGGTCAAGGTTCACATCCAGGCCTAGGATGTAAAATCTGAAAAATAAACATAACATCAATAAATGTTTCACAACAACAGAGGCTTACTGTGTTCAGAATAGGAACTATCGTAGCAGGATCAATCTATCTCAGCGGAGTATCACACTCAGCCGTTGTAATCAGCTTAATTGTCTGGCACGCCCCCTTGCAAAGCAACATGAACAACATAATAGACCGCAAAGTTTTCCTGATTTTACTAAAGTACTTTTAGTTGTACAAGTGTTCTGTGTTATATGTAAGTCTTGAAAATTGAAGCACAGTTTGTTACAAAGTCAGATAAAGCTAAGTCGTTAACTTCAACTTCATTGTAAACACACATACATCTGCATATGAAACTAGAATATAAAAAACTGGCACAAGTAACATCCCCTAAAATACCAAAACTTGAAACTGAATGTGTGTTACATACCTTTGATTCTGGGTAAGAAATTTCTAATGAAGCTGTCGACAAGCTGTCTCTTAACTGTTTGTGTTATGATAACACACGTAGCAAAGCCCTAGAATTTAATGCACAAATATACTTCATAAGTTAGATACACAGTTTATTCGTTCAGCAGACATATTTACCGTGAAATAGAAATCAAGTAAAATTCTAAGAATTGAAATATACCAGTACATCTTTTAATTTCTTGCTTAATATTCTTTATATTACTTTAAAATATTCAAACTTATTATCTAAACTGGTTTGAGTTTTTAGTGTATCTGATTCTAGTATATGTATGCCACCACTGGCCAACAACAGGGTAGGTTATTTCTACATAGAAGACAGTACCTGTAATAGTGACAGAACCAACTTGGTCTGTTTATATATATGGGCCGGTAAGTGGTAGGGGGGTATAGGATAAAGATTGGATCATATTATTCCTTGAGGTTGTTGTAACTGTAACCAAACATGTTCCACTGCTTGTTTCGAATCGGGAGAGACATCTACAGAAAGAGAGAGAGACCGCTGAGAAAGATAATTCCCCCCAGTCATCCATATCAGGTTTCGATGTTATCCCGGAGACACAACAGGAGCCACTCGAAAGCCAGAGACAGCCATCGAGTGAGGACGAGGCTACCAGGCAGCAAAAGAAGCGGGTCCGGGTGTCCAAGAAAGAAATCCCTGAGTAACGCTGGACAGAAGAGGCCGAGTTGAGGTTGGCCGAGCTTTTGAAAGAGAACCCCCAGCTGTATGACAAGAAGCAGAAGGAGTGGCCCAACGTGGTGGCCAAGAACAGCCGGTGGGACCGAGTCGGAGAGCAGCTGGAGCCTCGATCCTGCCACTGATCCCCAATGCAAGAAGCACTACGAGAACATGAGAACCAGGGTGGGAAGATTATGAAGAAGGAGAAGAAGAGTGGGGCTGAGAGGCCACAGAGGAGTGCCCGTGACGACCAGGGCCCAGTATCTCGAAAGCTTCGCTTATGGCGAGCGTGTGCAAGCATGGCGAGCGTGCGCTATCCGATATCTCGAAAGCTTCGCAAATCGCGGCCGTGCGCTAATGTCGAAATCACCATTAGTTTAGAGGCTATTATTTGCGGCGATACAATCTAGTCGCAAAGGCCTCTGCGTATGCATAATTTGTTATTTTAATGTGTCTTTCATGTAATTAAACATGATGGCAAGTATGGGTTGCTAGTCATAATAGCATATAACAAAAGCTATAACAAAAACATGGAAGCTTATAATAGATTGAATCACTCGGTACCCCTGATAGAAAAACTTGCGGTAAATATTCACGTGAACCCAGCGGGCATAGTCGCGTTGGATCAACGTTGAAAACAGGTTGATCTACCTAAATTCAACGTAAAATCAATGTTGAACTAGCCACGTCAAAACACCGTCATAATGTGACGTTGACTCAACGTTGTATTTTGGTCATTGACACAACCTTGCAGACATGGATTGTAATTAAAAATATTAATTATTGAAAACGTGATACTTTGTTTATCAATACTGTAACTAACTTTATAAAAATAATAAAAAAAGTGTTTTAAAGTAAAAGTTACAGTTGTTTTGAGTCTTTAGTGAACTAGTGAATTTTCTTAACTTGTTATTCAGAAATACATTCCAATAAACTGAATTCTAACACTAGGATGAATAAGTTGCTGTAAATGTGATGGAGTGAAGTTAATAAGGTTGACAGTTCTCGGTACCCTGTTATAGATTGACAGGTTGAGGTGACTGTGACTTTGTTATATATATATATATATATATATATATATATATATATATATATATATATATATATATATATATTAATCTAAACCTTGGAAATTTTAACTTAAAGGCCATACATATATACCCTACATATATTAAGCCATCAAACATGTCCTACTGCTTAACACCACCAGGGTAAAAGGGTGTACCATGCTTAGGTGCAAATCATGCTTAGGAGCTAAATGCGTTGAAAAAATCAGACAAAGCAGGCACTTGGATGTTTTGCACCAAATATAAAAAACATTTCAGGTCATTTTTATGTCTTTTCATGGAAGAATGTTTTCTAACAACTGGGGTTGATACAATGTTGTTATCTGACGTTGAGTCAACTTTCAAATCCAATGTTTATCCAACGTATTATCAACGTTATGGTACAACGTTAAACCAACATAATTTGCCCGCTGGGAGAATGCTAAAGTCATATTTTATAATGCATAAAAATTAAACATTTAAACATTTCATACATCATTTTATATTTTCTGATGAATATAATTCATCTGTGTAGTCAACTGATATCTAGAAAAGCACTCAGAGAGCGCAGACCTCCGCCAAGGCAGCAAAGTCTCCATCCAATGCCGTTTCACCCCTAAATTTTCGATATTTTTGATTATCGATTATTGATTGATTTTTGGTCTGGATCACCACCAAAAACTAACCATCTGTTCCTTGGCCCACTCCTGACAGTTCCTGAAATCGGTTTCATCAAAATCGGTGGACAATTTATTTTTCTGATTGTTGATTATTGATTAATTATTGATCCGGATCACCACCAAAAACTAATCACTTATAAGGTAACCATCTGTTCCTTGGCCCACTCCTGACAGTTCCTGAAATCGGTTTCATCAAAATCGATGGACAATTTATTTTTTGATTATTGATTGATTATTGATCCGGATCACCACCAAAAACTAATCACTTATAAGTTAACCCATTTCTGACCAACCCTTAAAATTTCATCAAAATCGGTCCATAACATTCTGAGTAATGTTGATAACAAACAGACAGAAAGAGAGGGGTGAAAATATAACCTCCTTGGCGGAGCTAATAATCATGAATTTATAAGTGTCATTTATGTAGCCAAATGTTCACAAGCACAACGAAGCTCTGTTTTTGCTCCCAATTAAGTATGTCCATATGACTGAAAATTGTCATTTATTAATGACGAAAACTAATAAGATACAAAGTTACAAAACTGGGGAGATAATCAAACATCCCCAAACTATATAAGTGCCATAATATAAAAATAATAAAGTATGTTAATGAGTGCTACCAGGATTAATTAAGAAAAATATGAGAAATTACAACAGCTATAGGAGCAAAAAGTTGGCGCAAATGAAAATAAAAGGCCATATGATGTGAGAGAAGCTCACATCCTCGCCAACCGAGGAGTGCTTGTGAAAAAGTTGGAATGATCAACAACATCTGACATTATATCTGAATCCTAAGTTCTACTAAAAAAAATAGTGCAACTACAAATCCATATCCCATAAAGAACTAGCTACAGCTGAATGAGGGATAGGAAGATAAACTGGCAACCATGAATAAAATTAAGGGAGCCAAAGAAGGCATTTAAATGGTGATTCCACCCTGTAATTTTTATTTTTATTTTTTTATTATTTATTTATTTATTTATTTATTTATTATTATTATTATTATTATTTATTATTATTATTATTATTTTTTTTTTTTGAAAACATGAAATACACATAATGATAAAAACCAGACCGCCTTTATATCTATCCTGCAAAAGCAAGGGCTTTCGATAATTCTGAAGAAACATAAGAATAAGTGACCGGTGTTCCATCAATAAACTGAAATAAATGACCTAACGCATGCGTAAAAGTTCGTCGGTAATCGAACAAGGCTTGAACTTGGCAAAGGAGAGGGCGAGATGTACCTGTCGGACTCAACCAGCTGAGAGTGCCAAAATTTTAAAGCAAGAACTATAGGACACGGTTCTTTAACTGTGATATGCCAAAGTGCAGCTACCTCATCCCATTCATTAAAGAACCTGTGACAACCAAAGACCGCCGCATAACCGATTGACCCCAAGGCATCTGTAAACAAGTGTAAGGTATTGCCATGATGAAGGCAGCAGGACTGATTTTCCATTAAAGTGATGTAAAAAATGAAGCCACATGCCTAGGTCCGCTCTTGCTTCACTATTGAGTCGAATATAATGACGCGGGGGTCCAACACCAACAGTTAAATAAATTAAGCGGCGTAAGAAAGCTCTGCTCGGTACTACGCCTAAGCATGCAAAGTTTAAAAAAGCAATAAGAGATTGTAACTCTTTCAATTGTACCTATTTTTCTTTGAGTAAGCTGGGAAACTAAAACATAACACTTTTCCAATTTGTCCTGTGGCAAACGACCCACTAGCGAATCTATTTTAACGCCGCAAATAGTTATACAAGTGGTCGGAGTAAATTTTTTTTTTTTTTTTTTTTGACAGTTATGGGAACCTAATCCGTTTGCATAACGCAAGAAAATTTTGTAAATCAACTTGACAGTTATTGGAATTGGGGGGTCCAATGGAACAAAACTCATCCAGTATATAGGATATGGCAGAGGCATGAAATTTCTTCAACATCCATTGTAGAGCTGTACTCAGTGATTAAATATTTGGCAAAAACAACTTGCACCCATTGGCAGAATTGTTTCAAAATAAATAATTCATTCCAAGTGAAACAAAGAAGATGATAAACCAAAAGGCTAAGAGGTGAAATGCGGAAAACATCTGGAATGTCAGACTTGGCTAAAAGAGCACCAGGGCCGAAATGTTGGACATGGGCGATAATCGTATAATTAAGTCGTACATAAAATACTCATGGCCAGAAATGTGCAGCATTCACGCGATACGCGAGGGCGCAACAGTAGGGCTTCACGTGACTCAACTAACCAATCACAGCACAAGAATGGCATCGCACACAGACTCTGTGATAAGTGCTCAGCCCATTGTCAAGTAGTGTAAGTTCATGGTAACAAGCGTCTGATATGTGCAGAGAAGTTCATTATTATAATATATATTGTTCTCATTGTTACATTATCAAATCTAACTATGTGTCCAAGTAGTAACTATACTGTACCAAGTCAGGTACTGATGATGTGCAGAGGTCATATATTCCAGAATAAGCCATTACCACTGATTTATAACTTTTTATTTTTGTTTAATATGTTATTCGTGAACGAGTTCATGAAAGATTATTTTAATTTGTTAAATCGTGATCTTATTCTTTTTATATTCAAATAATTGAATAATGTAGGTAAAATTGGTCTTCCAATTCTTATTTGCATTTTTCCTTCACTACAAGATTATTTTGGAACAGTTGCAGCATTAAAAAATTAAATAAATAGCAATCTGAAAGAAAAAAATTTGCATAATTATTAAATGATGATTGGAATTTTGGATTGAGAGATAAGTTAAATACTGAGTAGTGATATGGTCAGTCAATTTATGTAGAATCTGATAATATGATTGAAAATACTGATTGAATTCTTGGCCTTGCACTGGGCAGTTTTACATTTGTGCCAAGTGCACAGTGGTAAAAAATCTTCAATTGCCATGAAAGTTTTCCATCAGACTCACTGTGACACTGTATGGTGCTGCTATCTGCTGGTGCTATCGGCAACGAATGGAGGATTCATTGGCACTTTTTTGTAGTTTGCAGGTGAAAATTTTCATGAAAAAAATAAGAAAATTAAAATTGTGCACATAATGAAAATCTGGTTCCCCCATGAAAATTTGACTCCCCTCCACATCATCATCATCATCATTTAGAGCCTATAGTGTTCCACTGTTGGACAAAGGCCTCAGCATGCTTTTTCCATTGTTTCCTATCCTGAGCCTCAGATTTCCAGTTTGGCCAAGGTTTCTTCTCCCCTCCACAAAACTTCATAAATCTTATTTTATTTTGAGTATATGACTGTGATCTTGTAGTATGTAAAATGGAGGATACATTGGCACTTTTTTGTAGTTTGCAGGTGAAAATTTTCATGAAAAAATAAAGAAAATTAAAAATGTGCACTTAACCGCCCTTTGTCTCCCCTATGAAAAAGCTTTTCTTTGAGGATACTTTATGAAGAATTTATTGAAAGTACTTGCAAGTCTCATGGGTATAAAAATGAAGATTTTCATGATTTCTTTTTCATTCTTTCACTCACTATTTTATCATCAAACTTTTAAACATTTCCAATATGTTTTATAAAGTATCCTAAAAGGAAAGGTGTTGAAATGATGATCAAATATTCAATAGATAGAGTAACGTGACCGGGTCGCACCCTGATCCTTTCTGTATATTGATGAAGTTTATTTCTAGTTAGTGTTGTTTACCTGAAATACTATTGCCGCACTGCCGTGATGAACAGACGAACATGGGGGCCGCCATTGTGTTACGTATAACAGCCTTGACATAGTTAGCGTGCCCTTGTGACCTTAGAATGTAAACAAACAACGAAGGGGACGGAACCTAGACGTAAATGATGCTCACGTACAACGTACGCAAACGTAGATCGTGAAAAAAAAAAAAAAAAAAAAAAAAAACGCAAGGAGAGCGTTGGAGTGGAAGCGTTGCAGTCGGGTAGAAGACGAAAGAAGAGAAAGACGTGCAGAAGAGAAAAAGGAGTAGATTTACAGAAGAAGACGAGAGAGAGCGGAAACGTGAGTTACACTGGTCTTCCGGACCGCAACTCCAGTAATGCGTTAGCGTAACTGGGAAAACTCTTTAGTTTCGTTATTTTTGAGTTTCTTTGGTTTTGTTTGCGTTTTTAACTCATTTGACCAGCAGCCGGGCATGGAGAACTTCTTACCGACCTCGACGATCCAATGCATGAGGGGTGTAGGTGGAAATTCCTGACAGTCGGATACGGCAGGTGGAAATCCTGAGAGCTGGCCACTCCAGGTGGGAAAATTCCTATTCTCCAAGACTGTTCGTGTGTAATGAAGCCATGTGCCGTAGCCAAGGAGACTGGACACCTTCGTGTAACTTTTTGTTGAGTTATTTGAGTTATCTTACGTTTGGTTTATTATCGATTTAATTGTTCAGCGTCCGGGCATGCAGCAACTGCAGGTGGGGATGCCTGAATCTACAGGGGATATATAGCCCATTCTCCAGGATTTCCGTGTAAAGTGAAGCAGCTGCAGGTGGGGATGCCTGAGTCTACAGGGGATACATAGCCCATTCTCCAGGGCCCGGTTGCACCAACCGGTCGTAAGTGAGGCGTAGCAGTTGCGCCGGCGTAAACCGGGCGCAAAATGCTACGCCCGAGAAAAGCCAGTTGCACCAAACTGGAGTAGTGTTTACGTCGGTCTTAACTTAGTCGTAAATTTACGCCTGCTAGTTAGGTGGAGTAAGTCGTTCGTAGCTCGTTTTCCACTATGGCTAGGCTGGCACAGAGAGAGTTTGATGTCAATTATCGTAGTTAACGTAGATTATGTGGGTTGTTTTTTGTTTATTTCTTACACAAAACTTCCGTCTGTATAGCTTGGTTTTTAAAAAACTAGTTTTATACACTACATTACAAATACATTATGTGTGTAGCCATGTACATGTACATGCATGCGTTCAAATTAAATCTTACCACTCATGTCGACACGCCTTAGCGCTCAGCAGTACGGTGTCTTTAATTCTTTTCACAATTTTTGACAAACCATAACTAACTATAGTCATTTTTTATTCACATTTTATATCATTCATATTTTACTATATATAAACATAGAGACGAAAGCTTAAAATATCAACATTTTAAGGCTCATATAATATGTATTAGGTCTCTTGTATTTCTCAATCTCCAAGATGTAAGCTCGATTGAATTAAATGATACCTCACGGTGTAACCATAGATAAAAAAGGTCATGAAATTGTAGTAAAATTATAAAAAGAAAGCAATGCTGGCTTTTTTTATTATTTTCAGACTCAAATGTTCCAATAACAAATGTGAAAGTGTTCAAATCCATTAATAGAAATACGTACTGCCTCCAACGCGTTTTTCTCATTTACAACAGCATACTATAATAGCATACATAGCATACTATAATAATATTTTGATTCGGAATATATTGACGATTTTATTGCTTTTATCCCAGGCAACAGCAAAGTTAACGTATTTTAACGTTCTTATTTCTAAATCAAAATGGAATAATGTAGCTCATGAATTTCTCCGTCACTGAAATGCTCCTTTTGTGTTTATTTATGTCATCATTCCATTATGACTGCAGCTGAGAACTCCTCATTCGCCCAATTATACCATCCACGTATTGTTGGCCAGTGGCGCAACGGAGCGTTACTCGGGCGCAGTTACGACGATCAGTTTTTGTCTTGGTGCAACGGGCGTAAGCAGGGAGAGTAAACCTGGCGCATGGACGCCAGGCGTTGCGGTTTACGACAGTCGTAGCCGAGTAAATTTACGCCCTGTTGGTGCAACTGGGCCCAGGACTGTTCATGTGAAAAGAAGCATTGTGCCGCGACAGAAGACTGGACCCATTCAGTAGCGTTTCCGATATTATTAAGATTTTTAGTTGAGATTTAGGTCGACGTTATTATTATGTTTTGAACTCCAAGAGAAACTGTGAACTCTGTGCGAACGTAACATGTAATTTTGAACTGAGTAACGTGAATGAGTTTAAATGCGTACGAGATACTCAAATGTCTTTAACTTTGCTTACGTGTTGTTGAAATTTTATAATCGATTTCTGCGTTTATTAAAGCTGTTTGTCTTTACTTGAAATCCACTCTTGTTGTTTGTGCTTGGGATATACTTTCCCTGGGGAAAATCAACATCTCTCCCGACCCGCGATTAAATTAACGTGCCCACGGGACTCCCGAGGGGAGGGCTCGCGTCACAATAGCTTTTTCATTGGGGAGTCATTGGGTGATAGAATGCACATTTTTAATTTTATTATTTTTCAAGTTTTTTTTCTTCTTTTTCACCCAATATTTTACCATCAAACTTTTAAATATTTCCAATATAATCTTCATATAGTAAAAATTAAGGAAAGGTGTTGAAATGATCATCAAATATTAAATAGATAGCTTTTTCATAGGGGAGACAATGGGCGGTTAAGTGCACATTTTTAATTTTCTTATTTTTTCATGAAAATTTTAACCTGCAAACTACAAAAAAAGTGCCAATGTATCCTCCATTTTACATACTACAAGATCACAGTCACACTCAAAATAAAATAAGATTTATGAAGTTTTGTGGAGGGGGAGTCAACTTTTCATGAGGGAGTCAGATTTTCATTATGTGCAAATTTTTAATTTTCTCTTATTTTTCATGAAAATTTTCATCTGCAAACTGCAATAAAGTGCCAATGTATCCTTCATTTTACATACTACAAGATCACAGTCATACACTCAAAATAAATAAGATTTAAGAAATTTTTGTGGAGGGGGAGTCAAATTTTCATGGGGGGGAGTCAGATTTTCATGTTACACCGGCATAAACCCAACGAATAGCCTGGGTAGATATGACACAAGCCATATTAATATAAAGTGCAAAAAACATCTCGGACTCCGCCGCCATAAAAAAATCCATGCAGACAACAGCCTCAGCTCAGCTGTGCACGTAAAAACAGGGATATCTGGTAAAACCGACTAGGCAAACGAACATACAGCTGGGTGACTCCCCGGAAAAGAAGCATAACAGCTCCCAAAAAATATAAACCTAGTATATCAGATACCACCTCAGGGTTCTCACAACTAGGCAAACAGTTAAACACCTTGGAAATACACCCAGAACCTAGTATACCAGATACCACCTCAGGGTTCTCACTACTAGGCAAACAGTTAAACACCTGGGAAGTACACCCAGAAGAAAGAGCATAACAACTCCAAAAATACATATTACCTGGGCCCCGTATCTCGAAAGCTTCGCTTATGGCAAGCAGGCGCAATCATGGCGATTCCGCGCTATCCCATGTCTCGAAAGCTTCGCAAATCGCGGCCGTGCGCTAATGGCGAAATCACCATTAGTTTCGAGGCTATTGTTTGCGGCGAAACAAACAAGTCGCAAAGGCCTCTGCGTATGCATAATTTGTTATTTTAATGTGTCTTTCATGAAATTAAACAAGGCGGCAAGTATGGGTTGCTAGTCATAATAGGATATAACAAAAGCTATAATAAAAACATGGAAGTTTATAATAGATTGAATCACTCGGTACCCCTGATAGAAAAACTTGCGGTAAATATTCACGTGAAGAATGCTTAAGTCATGTTTTATTATGCATAAAAATTTCAAAATTAAACATTTCATACATCATTTATATTTTCTGATGTATATAATTCATCTGTGTAGTCTATTGATAATAATCATAAATCTAAAAGTGTCATTTTCTACACAAAATGAAAAAGCAGAAACAAAGCATTTGGTCGCACCGTGACCTTCCTTAATGTCTATTATTGTGAGATTGAACACTTCTCACCAATGCGTCAGTAATTGTGTCAGTCCAAGATTCGCTTATTGAATTTTTTTTTTTTTGACATTTTATTGGTGTCAAACACTTCAAATATCAGTATTTGTAATTACGATATTCCTATAAATAAAAACAACCTCTTGATTTGCGTCATGGTAAAAAAAAAAACATTTTGTGTAATTGTGTTATGATGTCTTCACTTTATGCGACAATCGAAGTTTAGTAGGCCTAGAGTTTGAGGTCATAATTGCGTTGCGTTTGCTAAGGCTTCGAGATAGCAGGTGGGTGCAATCGCACTCGCAAATAGCGCGGAATCGCCATGTTCGCGACCGTGCGCAACATAGCGAAGCTTTCGAGATACGAGGCCCTGGGGTCGGTTTCACAAAGCAGTAGTTAGCTAGCGATCGGTAGTTAGCCTCTCGCTAGTTACAGTGCCGTTTCACGAAGCAGTCGCTAGTTCTCTCGCTCGTATATATTGTCTCGTTGTTACCATGGATATTTAACGACTGAGTCGCTAACTCTAGAGTTTCATCGTACGCATGCGTAATGAGTGAAATAAAAAGGTTGCTTAGTTACCGTTGTCTGTCATTTGTCTTTGTATGCGGCTGCCTTTCTTGCTCGGCCCTATCCGTACCGCCAGACGGCAACGTAGACTACGACGTTTTCATGAAAGGCAGAATCTGTTAGAATATACACACGATGATGCAATTTACGAGAGGTTGAGCCTAGCTGTGACAAAAAGAGCGGCAAAAAGGTGGTGGAGATCCTTTACGACGACCTCAAAGCAGACGTTCTTATGCATTTCCAGCCACCAAAAATTGGAGAGTATGTGCTTTCGTGACACTTTTACGCAAGAGTTCCACTTCCGGCAGACGGTTTCGAGACTACGGTGAGTAACGAGAGAACTAACGACCGAACTTTACGACTGAACTTAGCGATAAGTTAACTACTGCTTCGTGAAACACCCCTCGAAAATCGCTAAGTTTGCTCGTTAGCGAGGTAGTTCAGTAGTTAGTTGTTCTAACTAACTACTGCTTTGTGAAACCGGCCCCTGGAGTTTTCTGACGCAACACATAGTCCGGGGAGTGATAGTCCCCAGTGAGCAGTTTGCTGTCCCAGAGTC